GAGTAGCTACTTCAGTTATTTTTAGAGAGCTAGTTTATTTTTGTTTCTTTTGTAGAGCAATCCAGGCTAGTCTTGCTTTATATCAACAAAACCTGAACTGCGCAGACTCAAGAGGCAATAGCACTCCTGATAGCGATTCTGAACTACAGATGGCGCTAATGTTGTCCGAACAGGAACAGCAAGAGGCAGAACAACAGAAGCGAAAAGAGGAAAAGATGTTGGAAGAAATTCTTCGACTTTCCCTCACCGAGCAGTAGACGAAAAATACAACGTTTATTTATTATTTCTATCTACAATACTTTCAACGATGGGAGAAATTGATATCGTAAATTCTGTAGGTAACTCATTGGAGGCCCTTGTCCAGTCGAAGTGACCGGCGCACAAGTGGAACACAGAAAACGAACTTGCGGTTTGTGAGAAATTAAGTCAAATTATTTATTTTGTTTTCTCTGTCTACGAAAATACTTGCTTTTCGGCCCAGATGTTTCCTTTTATTTGTTTTTAGACGAGTACGATTTTTTAAATTCAAAATCGTATGAATATTTTTTTTTAACAAAGTAAATCGATAAATATCAACGTACGCCAGTAATTATTGAGGGCAATCAACTTTAGACGTTAACTTCAGTGACGGTTTCTGAGTATATCGTACGAGCGGGCACAGTTTTTTGCGTGACCACATAACGTAGTCGTATTGATTTCCTTCGAATAAATGATCTCGTAAACCTAACATACAGAAACCTTTGCAGTGACTTGTAACAAATATTTTAACATCATTAACAAAATTAATGGACAAAAAATACCCTATTCTTCACAACAATAGGAATAGGCATGTGTCCTTTGTGCTTTTACGAGTCTACCGCCACTGATTACTTTCTATTCCTTTTTTAGTTTATTCCTTTTTTAGTTTAAAGTTTATAGTGTTAAAATTTTTTATCGTCGTATGGTGCTAATATCCTCCTAGTAATGCAAAGAGCGATTCAAATTACTTATCACACCACATGCTAAAAAGGACGTTATAGTGTTTATAGATGCTAATTTTTTTTCACGAAATATTTCTATAAGAGATCAAAATCTGTTGACACACAATTCAAATCACATTCCGTTCCTGTATCTCTTAAACGAAGAAAATAAAAAAAATATTTTAGCAAGAAATTTTTAAATTATTACCAATTTTTAGAATGTTATTTGTTAAAAAATAATTAATATACTAAATTATGCTTAAATGGCCAAAAAACCAAAAGCTAATCGAGTGTAGACATTTTAGATTTGCTCATAGAACTTACAAAGATATTCCTGTAATTTTATACACAAAGTTACTACAGCTAAAATTAGGTAAATGATTCAGAAAGAATGTTAGAGGATGACCGATGTGTTTATTATTTAATATTTATTATTACACAATGAATTATGTCGTTATTTATAAATAAGGAAATACATCTGACTACTATTTGCATGTTTTTGTCTTTTTTAACAAAATAGAATTACTCCATTGACTCTTGTGCCCTAAAAAATTCAAGAGTTATTATACTATACCATTAAAAAATATTCTAGCTTACTTATTATAAATGGTTTGCAAGATTTTCATACTTTCTTTGTATCTATCTTCATTTTTTAGTGCAGTTCCGATCCATTTCTTTTTCACATTAACCCACCTTTGCAGATGATTCCTTATTAAAGTATCTTTTGATAGTGGGGGTTTCTCATTCTAAAACAATAAATTTTTTATTAATATTTTTGATAAATAACAATGTACTGTTTTTCATACATAATTTAAGTTCACTTCAGCCTTATCTTGATTTTTTTGTTCTGGTAGTGGAGAAGGAACTCTAGATGTAAAAGGTGTTAAGGGCTTAGGCAGTACTGTGATATCCCTAATATCATGACCATTCCAAAGGTGTAAATGACTATCAGGTTCAGGTGAAGAATACCTTCGCCTAAAATAGTAATAAGTTGCTGTTAAATTTTGAAACCTTACAAAGACTTAAAGCCATACTTAACAACTACTTGTGGGTTGGGATTACGAGGCTGATTTGCCATCCATGCCCTACATATTGGGTAAAGAGGGGTATCTTCTTCAAATCGTGCTAAATCAACGCTTCTATCAAATAATTTCATTACATATGTGCTTCGAAAGGTCCCTTGTGACAGCTCGTTTTTATTTTTGTTATCGCTAAATAAATGTTGTGCTTGCAGTACTTATTAAATACTAAATACTGGTAAATAAAAGACATAGAAAAGTTACTCACTATTTCTTATGTGACCGATACCCTTTGTTATCATCATCCGAAGAATCTGATTCGGATTTTTCATTTTCTGTTAACTGTTTAAGAACACCTTTTAATCGGACTTTAGCAGTTAAATAATCGCTATTTTCCTCTTTGACCTCAACCTTTACCTGATTAGAGGACTCTAACTTTCGCTTTTTAGTCATTTTTATTAACAGTAACAATAAATTATTAGGATTAGCATTTGAAACTTCAAAAACATTTTAGGTTAACTGGCAATCATAACTGTGGCTATACATTGTCTGCAGTAGATTCTTAGAAAAGGAATTTATTTAATAAAGACAAGAATGAAGCCGATAATAAAGTAGGTGCAAATCGTTCATCGAACTGAAATGTTAAGNAGGTGAAATCATTAAAAATTAATAAAGTGTATAACTTTTTTAAAGGTTTAAACTAACGATAAAATATTCTTGATACCGTTTTAAATTACATTATTGAAATAACAAACTTCTTTAAAACACAAAAAAATTACTCAGGTTATGTATTCCATATTTGTCTCGGAGAACCTTGTGTAGTGCCATAGTAGTGGATGCAGGTATTCCACACATTTTGTAGTTTTAAGCAAGGTTTTAAAGGTTTTGTTTGCTTATAAAATACAAAAATGACACTAGAAACAATCCCCAAAGATTTACGTGGCCTTCGAGCTTGTTTGGTTTGTTCTTTAATAAAGGTACATGGTAATATAGTAAAGGTAAATATTTTAATTAATGACGTTTATAATTCTAGACTTTCGATCAGTTCGAATATGAAGGCTGCGATAATTGTGACGAGTTTCTTCGAATGAAGAACAATAGAGATAATGTGTATGACTGCACAAGTTCTAATTTTGATGGGTAAATTTTCTATATAGTTGTAACATGTAGAAACTAATGACTTACTTTTACAGGATGATTGCTGCCATGAGTCCAGAAGACAGCTGGGTGTGCAAGTGGCAAAGAATTAGTAAGTTATTTCATAACTTTTATTTAGGTATAGTCGTACTATTTTTTTTCAATGTTTTTGTAGACCGGTTTTGTAAAGGAATATATGCTATATCTGTTTCTGGGCGTTTACCTGCTGGAGTTATAAGGGAAATGAAAAGTAGGGGTATTGTTTATAAACCTAGAGATACAAGCCAACGTTAGTTTTCTTAATTAACTTAAATTCATAAATCAAAAACACAGGCAACATTTAATTTTGCAAGGTCTATTAATTATCATTAAAAAAATAAGGAGTTTTAAACGACTTATTTTCGTATGTATTAAAACTACAGAATCTTGAGGGACATTTTAGATTATAATTTAATTTATAATCTTTTGTAGGTATTTTTTAAGTAATACTAATTTGTAATTTTAACATTAATTAAACATAATAATTGTATACAAACATAGAAGTTTTTTATTCTCCAGTATCTGGTTATTAAACTTTCCTTAGGTAAAAAATACCAAATGTATATGTAACAACAATGTGCAGTTGTATATTGGGTTGCATATGTCCGATTGGTTTTCCTCAAGTTTTCCTTACGGTTGTCATGGTTTTCCCCGGAATTGAGACTGTTTAATCGCGAATTCTTGAGCACAAAAAATCCTATTATATGAATTTTATCAAATTTATTGTAGCAGTTCTCGAGAGCCTATTTGTGTAGCATCAAAAAATGAAATCAACTTAAAATAGATTTTATTTATTATGTTTGCATTATAGTTACATACATATCTACTCTACATATTACAAGTTGATAAAATTTATACACAAAATCACATCTTTTATTGTATATATTTTTTAAACTATTGAAACATTTATAAATAGGTATATATGTTCATAGCAAAAAATGCGTTGTTCAGAGTAGTATATTTCACAACATAAAAAAAAATCGTAAACCTAAAGCAGAGTATTATTTGTAATATCTATTAAATGTTTTAAGGCACAAAAATAGAAACTGACGATGAGTTACAAAATAATGAATAATAACAATAGCACATGTATTTGACAAGTTTTATACAAATATTTACTTCTTGTTTGCAACAGAGTGCTGTCGCGTGTGCTTTTCAGCTTTTGTTTTTTTTTTTTAAATAAGTAAAGAATGAAAGTACGGCCTACATTTAGCGCAAAAGACTTATACAATAATAAAAAAGCTATGTGTTGTTATATTAGTGAGAATCACGTTGTTTTTGTTGTGCCAATTCTGAAAAAAAAATTNGTAAATAAAAATTTGGATGAAAAAAAAAATTGACTTTCACTTACCTTTCATTTTGGAAGAAACACCAGAGTGTTAATTCGATTTTTGTAAAGTGATGTATGAAAACGCGTGTATATGTGTAACTTACGTTTTACTAAAATAAGAGTGCAATTAAGAAGTTGTCATTTTAGAGGCCTCTGTTACCATGGATCCTTTAACGCCTTAACACAAACACATAAATCAATTTGATTAATTTGCCGGACAATAATATATTTTACAGGAAAAGTTCAATAACACAAAAACATGAAAAGTAGCACCTTTTCCGCTACATCGGTTGATTTTAGATCCCCAACCCTCTACACATACAAGAAAATTGCAAGCTGAATAATAGGGCATAAAAAGTTTTTTTAATGCTTAAATTCATAAATCGTGGTAAAGCTTATAACGAGAACTTTCTAATAAGCTATTTCAATTGTCGAAGGTTGGGGGAGGAGGGAAGATATGAGGGGGTGAATATTCAACATATACATAAATAAGATGAATAATACATCATCATTAGCTTTCCAAAGATGTATGACTCATTTTTATATGATATGGAGCATGCCCTATACCAGAGGTTTATTTATCTGTTAAACATTCACTCCCTCATATCGTCCCCCTCCCATCTTCGACCATTGAGATGTAGCTCATTGGAAAGCTCTCATCATAAGCCTTCCAGCGATTTATTGGATATATTGAACTTGAGCTAGAATTTACGGGAAGTTTCCATAAATAAACAGGAATAATCTATGATTGCATAAATTAATGATCAGGCTTGATGCTACAAGAGAGCTGACTTAAATAACGCATGAACAAGAAGACCAAACAGTCAGCAAATGATTTGAATTTATCAATTCATTTATAGTTCTTATGTTGTTATCTATGTTCTTCTTATTCCTGTTGTCCGCATAAATAAAAAAAAAATTAAAACCATTCGCCTCCACATCTGCATTTGCAATACTTGAATACCTCTAAACACTCGATGATTGTTTCTTAATACAATTAGTCTGAAGGTGTTAATTAAAAGAATATTTTTGATCTCCATCAATATACGCGATACACAGGGTGCTCCAGATTTATATTTATAATGTATTTGAATAAAAGTATTTGAAATACTCTACAACATAATTTTTCTGAAGCATTAAAAACTTTTTTCATTTTAATTTTGTTATAACATTAATAATGTTATTTTTTTATATCTATTCAAAGGATTCTCATCTGAGCGAATTTTTCACATATCTTTTTCTTTAGTCGCGATTTAAACACCATATTAAACAAATATAACAACAACAAAATATACTCACTCCGCCTTAGGGCATTTTGAGCATCCATGGTCATGGCATCAGCTTCATCAAGAATAATTAATTTAAATCCAGATTTGAAGATGGTTTTAGTACTAGCGAATGTCAGTATTTGTCCTCGAACCACTCCAATGCCTCTGTCATCAGAGGCATTCATTTCTAAAACCTAATATATATTTTATCACATGACCCTAAAAAAATATTCTGCCCATTTTTTACCATTGACGTAAACTGTTTAGGTGAATAAAGCTGTCGCGCACAAGCAAGAATTGTACTTGTTTTACCAGTCCCAGGGGGCCCATAAAATAATAAATGAGGAAACTGATCTTGTATTATAAACTTATTTACTACAAAATAAAGCAACATTTGCATTAAACAAAGTTTAAATAAGAAAAATAACTTAAAACATACTCGTTTTTATTATTTCTTCATGCGATACAAGATCATCTAAAGTACTGGGACGATATTTCTCAACCCTAAAAAGTTAACAATATTAAGTATGTATTTAGAATAAAAATAAAAGAAAACTGTACCAGGGTAAATTTTTATTACTTTCTGGTCTCATCTTAAAATTTTTTTTTAAATAAAAACAGTTTTATTCGCTTCACTTACAGGTTATGTCAGTTATATTCGAGGTTATATTTATTTGTGAAGTACCGGAATAATTTTAAAATGAAATGTGTTTAAAGTTAAACAACGAAAAAAAATTCAGGTTGTATAAATTAGTAATATAAGCACTTAATATTTATTGACTGAGTTCATTCGTTCTTCAGAATATGTAGTTTCTGTTTTGCAATTGTTTAGCTAATTAATAATAGCTAAAATTGGTTAATTTTCGAAAATAAGAAAATCTGCTGTTGTTACCGAGCCACTACAAGCAAATGCTAGAAGATAGGTTATGTAGTTTAAATGTCATCAAGTGTCATCATGTCACTTTTTTTATCTGACCACTGTCTCTCATTTTTGCCTCTGTCGGAATGGCAAGTAAGAGATAGCATTGTCAATGACCTTTTAATATAATACGCTAAAATTTAATTAAGTAATGCATTCATCGCTGAAAATGAACCTATGTAGGAAAGTTTAGTAATTACAATTTATTAAGTTAAAAATGGTGGGAATAGATTCTATCAAATCACAATACCCTTTGCACTGGTTCGTCTGGAATAACGAATATAAACTCCTGGAGGAAGAATTATCAAGACATGCAGTGAGTCTTTTTACTCAATGATTCATCTGAATTTAATTGAAGCTCCATAAGTACCTGATAGTTTTTGTAGTGGTGTTATTCATTCCTATGAATCATACCCATTATTTTTTTTACTGCTTTTAGCAAGATATTGAAAAGAAGGATAACAGGGGTAGGACACCTTTAATGCTTGCAGTTACATTAGGTCATCTAGAATCTGTACGTACATTATTAAATTTTGGAGCTAATGTTAACTGTGAGAACTTGGATGGATGGACAGGTTAGAATATTCTTTTTAAATTTTTAATTAAGAGTATTTACTAATGTGAATTATTATTTGTTTTACTTAAATACAAACTTAAATTTCATTTTTGGTTTCTTTATAGTTGTCCAAGAAGCAGTGGCAACTGGGGATCCAGAGTTGCTTCATATGGTTTTGGAAAGAAGAGATTTCCAAAGATATTCTAATAGAATGGCTGGTATTCCAGAATTACTTCAGAAACTTAAAGAGGCTCCTGATTTTTATGTTGAAATGAAATGGGAGTTCACTAGTTGGGGTATAATATTATTGTTTCTACTTTTATTTCACAAAACTCATTTTTATTTTTCTTTTCAGTTCCATTTGTTTCTAGAATGTGTCCCAGTGACATCTACAAAGTATATAAGCAGGGTTCTAATGTTAGGATAGACACAACACTTTTAGGATTTGACCACACCAACTGGCAGAGAGGAAATAGAAGTTACATATTCCAGGGTCATAGTAAGTGTCATAATTATTACTTTTGATCTTTAAAATAATAAAATGCTCTAAATAAGGATTGTAATTAAATTTTTATATTTCTATTTAGCCATCCAAATATCTCAAACTATTCGGGGTTCTAGAAGCTATTTATATAAATTTCACAAACTTAAAAATAATGGTAATTAAATGATTTGTAGCTGCTAGGATTACATAATTACATAATCATGGACTAAATATAAAAAGCTTTTGCTATTTAAAACAGCATAAAATATGTAATCTTCAATTACTCACAAAACATTTTTCAAAAGAACTACTGCAATTTTATGCTAGTCTGTCTTTCTTTTTATGTAAATTATTTACAACACAAATTATTATTATAGAGGAGGGTGCTACAATGATGGAGGTAGACCACGATACCAAACAAGTTTATTGTGAGCAAATGAAGGTTCCTAATGATTCAATGGGTGTTTTGGTCCCATCTGAAGAATCCGTTTCTCATCGTCTCACTACCCCTATTGTAACCACCTATGTTGACACTGACAAAATTAGTTTTGAAAGGTAATACAATACTCATTTGATTTCTCATTCACATACATTAAATGCAACATTTTATTTAATCAGGAATAAAGCAGGTATTCTTGGTTGGAGGTCAGATAAAACTGAAAACATAAACGGTCACGATTGCAAAGTATTTGGTGCAAACAACGTCCAATTGATAACAAAAACGCGCACCGAACATCTGACTGAAATCGACAAAGCCTTAGCTAGAAGTAAGAATAAAAGTCCCCTGCAAAATTTCCTAGGAATAGCTGAGGTTGAAGAAAATCAAGCAGCTGCAATTATTAATAAGGTATCTTTTTTAAGGGTTTAATTTTGAATGGGTTTATTGTATTTTTAATTAGTTAAGTTAATTTCTTCTCTATTATATTTTTGTTGTATTTATTCAGGAGGAGTATTTTCATAACACGAATCCTTGTAACATCAGACCTGAGGAATATTTCGATTCAGAAGTAGATTTAACAGGTCGAGATATTGGAAGGCCCAGAGAAATAAATACAAAACTACAAAAGTTCAAGGCCACCCTTTGGCTGTGCGAAAAGTACCCTCTATCCTTCCCAGAACAGATTCTGCCTATCGTTGATCTCATGGCGATTTCTAGCTCTCATTTCGCCAAACTGAAAAACTTCATTCAAATGCAACTGCCATCCGGATTTCCGGTCAAAATAGGTACGAATAGATAACAAATAAATTTCTTTATGCCAAAAATGCAACTTTTCCCTTCTTTATGTTTTACTTCAATTTTTTACAAATTTCTCTTAGTTTATCCTTTTTCTAAACATTCCTTATTTCGTATAAGTAACAATAAAACGTAATTGTAGTCCTTTAAAGGTCTTGTTATTCTTTGTATTATTCTAAGTAATAAAATCTTTCTTTAATTAAATATAACCATTTTTTATAATTTAATTTTCCTAATAATTATTAATTTGGGATAGTGTAAATGATAACCTTTTCTGTTTTGTATTTAAGAAATTCCCCTGTTCCATGTTCTGAATGCTCGTATAACTTTTGGGAATATATTTGCGATGGACACTCCCGTTGAAATGGTCAATAGGATTGAGGACGAGGATAGGATAACCTGTATAGTGGACGACGCTGCATTTGATGTTCCACCTGGTTATACTCAGCTTGGTAATGGTAATACACCGACACAGTNAGAGCAGTATGTGGTATTTTTTTACTGGGTAAAGAGTAAATTAATATAAATATTAAACAATGATCATTAGGTACATCACAGATATCACTTTTATGTTTTAATACAAGAAATTACCACATTATGAAAATAAAAGGTAAAAATTCTGGATAAAAGGATGACTAGCAAGAATTTTTACCTTTTGCAACTGTGATAGAGTCTTCTGCTTTCGCCACGATAGTACTCAAAAACCTTACCCTGACAGTAAAAACAACTTCCAATGGGTTGATGGGGCAATCCTTTTTGTTCAAAATGCCAATTTAAAGCAACTGCATCCGGACTTATGTACAAATTACACTTGTCACAGTAAAAATAGTTTTTCTTCTGGTAGTCGTTAGCTTTCTCCAATGATTCTTTTGATAAAAATCTTGGATGAATTGCATCTAATTCTGTACTTCGATGATAACCAGCATTTTCGAAAGTACCATAATTTTTTTTATTCATGTTAACGTTAATAAGGCGATTGTAACTCAAATTGTTAATAAACTTTTACAAATTTTTTATCTAACCTACAAACTTTGACAATCGTAAACAAATGTGTTATTGTGGAAGTGGTTCTATAGCAGCTCAATGACTACGTTGGTATGAGTATAGATATGTATACGTATTTCAATGGGCTTAACGTTATTTATTTTGTGTAATTTTCTAAATATGAAATAGGATTTTTTATCATATCTTACGTTTAATGATTGCAATGTAATATGTGTTATTATATGTAGTAAGTATTCTATAAATATTTCGTAATAAATAGAAATATAATATCAAATTAAGTATTGAAGTTTAATAATAATACCAAATTTGTATTTATGACATGAATAGAAAGAAGCTTACACTAAAGTTTAATTCAACAACTTAATATATTTTCTTACACTTTTCATGGATTATAGGCACTACCATAAATCTCTTGTATCTATGGGCACTACCTACCTAATACACCATATACAATCTATGCCATACTATTATCTATGGGCAATATACTTACACGTGCTAATTTTTAAAAAATTTAGGGTTATGTGTTTTGTAATTGTTTTTCTGTATATGACTTAAAATATTTTTAATATTAATGTTACAACGTAATTTAAAATATATATATATGACGAGAATAAGAATAGTACATCAATTACTGATCAGTTTTAAATATTAAATTAAAATGGAAAATGATGAAAGTGTAGGTGCACCCTCCGCTGTATCCACAATAAATGAGACAGACAACTGTGAAGAAACCAATCCCTATGCGTATTTAAATAGAGAAGAGTTTTCCTCCGAAAAATTTAAAATCGAAATCAAAAATTTACCAAAGTTTTATGGAATCAATGTAAGTTGTTGATACCAGTTTGGATTTATTGTTTTAATGAAGTTTATTAATTAGGAATTTAAGAAACTTGTTAATGAGAAATTGAAGTTGGGCTCTAATAAAGTTAAAATACCAAGACGAAATAGCCCATATATTTTTGTCTGCTTTAGAAGCGAAGAAGATCGTGAAAATGCTATTAAAATAATCAATAAATTTAAATGGAAAGGAAAAGAACTTTCAGCTTATGTAATATTTACTACTACAATTAAATAAATTATGAGGTAAAGTACATTTATATCATACAGAAAGCCAAACCAGCTCCTGATCCTTTGGTGAAAAAACGTAGAGATGACCAAGCTTGTGAGAATGCTCCTAAGAAGTTTAAAACAGATGAACAAACACAGGAAGAACGTTTGAAAGCATCTGTTATTCCTTTATGGAATGTACCTTATGAAGAGCAGGTATTTATTTGTTAGTTTCTTTTATTACGAATTTCCACAATTATCCTACAAACTTTTAGTTACAACAGAAACAGGAAAGTATTCGTCAGGTGTTATTGAAATTAGGAAATAATTTATTCCATCAAAATTCATCCCTCAGAGACTGGATTAAAAAGCAAAAAGAGTGTAACAATGGTCTAATTTGTGAAATGCATAATGTAAGACATTCANATACTGGTAAGTACTTCTTGTTTACATGTTCATTAATACATTTTATAGCATTTACAGTTGTTTATGGAGAGATAAATTGTAATGTTTTAGATGTATTAAAGAGGGGTGATAATGATGCAACTGATATGCACCTTTATTGGGACTCCTGGGATCGACACCATCACCTCAAAGGAGTTGGTCTTTCTCCAAGAGTTGCTAGGTCTAGAGCAACTCGAGCATCAGTACCTTCTGAGGAGAGTTTAGTTTTAAATAATAATAATAAGGCTTCAAACATTCTACCTTCTTCTTCGGTATCTAGTATTAATTCCTTAAATGCACAGGCTGAAATAGCACCTCCTTTAACGCCACCTTTACAGACCAGAGGAAAAGGCAAGTTAAATTAAAAAATTGTGTTTTAGTGGTTTTTATTTTGTATAATAAAATAGGTATGAAGTTCCCAACAACTCCTCCTCCAAGAAGGAAACATTTAACTGGTATCCAAAATACGGGGACCCTTTTGACCGATTCATATCCTTTAACTAAGAGCAAATCACATGAATCACAACTAGCACCTTCAAAAAATGAAAATGGGGTGACAAACAATTCCAAGTAAGTTTTTTAAAAATGTCCTTTATCATTAAAGTGGATAAGAAGTCACTATTCATTTTTAATGTAAATTTTCAGTGTTATTCAGGTGAATACAGTTGGTAGACGAACAAGATTACCAACAGAACCTGGACCTGAAGGGATTGCAGGTTATGCAAGCCCTATTTTAAATAGTCCCATTAAATCACCCCCTTACAATAACGCTGGTACAGATAGTGATGATAGCAGTTTCAAATGTATGTATTTTTTTTTCTAGAATTAATTTCAAAGAAATTATTAATCGATTTATAAATTTCTTATTATTGTAATGTGTTGAATGATTGTAAATGAACATTTTTTAGCGGTGACTAGTTTACAAGTACCAAAATCGCCTCGTACACCTACGGTGATGCCCAGTATGGGTCATCAGATAGCCCATCGGTTCACCAAGACCTTTAAAATGATGGCAACCTGTGGATACTGTTCTAAACCAATTTATTTTGGAACCGGTTTAAAATGCAAGGACTGCAAGTACAAATGTCATAGGGAGTGTGAGGATAAAGTAGCTCCATCATGTGGATTCCCTCCTGAATGCCTCAAGCCATAATAGATGCGAAAGAGAACGCTAAAATAAATGAAATAGAAAATTGCGAGTTCTTTACTGGTAAAGCTGAAGATATACTTGGTTCTGTGTTATACAGGACGAAAAACGAGGACATTGTGACTGTCGTAGATCCTCCTAGAGCTGGTTTGCGTAAGTTTTTTCTTAAAAATATGTTAGTATTCTATACTATAATATGTAGTTGCTTTATGCTAAAAAAGTCATGGTAAATATGTGCTAGCTGCACTATTGAATATCTACCTGAAAAAGAACTGCATCATCATAGTAATTTAATTTAGGTCTACCTCTTCCTCTCTTAACTCCTGTTTTTTCTTGTAACATTTTTTTTTCAGATCAAAAAGCAATATTGCAACTTAGGAAAACGAAGAAAATTAAGAAAATTGTCTACATTTCGTGCAATCCAACTGCTGCAATGAAAAATTTCGTGGATTTAGGCAGACCTGCATCAAAAACTATTCAAGGTGATCCTTTTGTTCCCCTTAAGGCAATCCCTGTAGATATGTTTCCATTTACGAAGCATTGCGAGTTGATAATTTATTTTGAGAGATTCCAAAAATATGAAGATATTCCTCAACAGTCAAATAATGGAGATGTTCCATTAGAAGTTAATGAAGAAAATGTAAAATGTGAAAGAGAAAATGACGAGCAAGTAAATTTAAGCAGTGTAAATGTTTAATATCAACAAAAGGTATTAAATTTTATATTTTATTGTTAATTCAACAACTTAATATATTTTCTTACACTTTTCATGGATTATAGGCACTACCATAAATCTCTTGTATCTATGGGCACTACCTACCTAATACNAGCATTTAGTCGAATATGTTATATTTTTGGGACTTCGCACCAAATAGAGTTTTATTATACAAATGTTAAATAAGTAAAATTAATATAATTTTCCTTTTTCATTTTTTCTATTCAAGGTGTTCTAAGAATTATTAGCAAAACCAGCTAACTATACTTTTTTGTTAGTGTAGATCATTTACTTTTTTGTTTGGGCTTTCTCGGCCTGTATTCGAATTTCAAGCTTGGGTTTCTCCGTGGTCTTTGCTTGCAGTACCAAATGTTTCGCAGCTCTTCACTGTCGCTATATACAGATGATAATGTAATGAGCCGCGAAACGTTTGATACTTAAACCCATGATTAAAATCCTAGAGTAGCTACTTCAGTTATTTTTAGTGAGCTAGTTTATTTTTGTTTCTTTTGTAGAGCAATCCAGGCTAGTCTTGCTTTATATCAACAAAACCTGAACTGCGCAGACTCAAGAGGCAATAGCACTCCTGATAGCGATTCTGAACTACAGATGGCGCTAATGTTGTCCGAACAGGAACAGCAAGAGGCAGAACAACAGAAGCGAAAAGAGGAAAAGATGTTGGAAGAAATTCTTCGACTTTCCCTCACCGAGCAGTAGACGAAAAATACAACGTTTATTTATTATTTCTATCTACAATACTTTCAACGATGGGAGAAATTGATATCGTAAATTCTGTAGGTAACTCATTGGAGGCCCTTGTCCAGTCGAAGTGACCGGCGCACAAGTGGAACACAGAAAACGAACTTGCGGTTTGTGAGAAATTAAGTCAAATTATTTATTTTGTTTTCTCTGTCTACGAAAATACTTGCTTTTCGGCCCAGATGTTTCCTTTTATTTGTTTTTAGACGAGTACGATTTTTTAAATTCAAAATCGTATGAATATTTTTTTTTAACAAAGTAAATCGATAAATATCAACGTACGCCAGTAATTATTGAGGGCAATCAACTTTAGACGTTAACTTCAGTGACGGTTTCTGAGTATATCGTACGAGCGGGCACAGTTTTTTGCGTGACCACATAACGTAGTCGTATTGATTTCCTTCGAATAAATGATCTCGTAAACCTAACATACAGAAACCTTTGCAGTGACTTGTAACAAATATTTTAACATCATTAACAAAATTAATGGACAAAAAATACCCTATTCTTCACAACAATAGGAATAGGCATGTGTCCTTTGTGCTTTTACGAGTCTACCGCCACTGATTACTTTCTATTCCTTTTTTAGTTTATTCCTTTTTTAGTTTAAAGTTTATAGTGTTAAAATTTTTTATCGTCGTATGGTGCTAATATCCTCCTAGTAATGCAAAGAGCGATTCAAATTACTTATCACACCACATGCTAAAAAGGACGTTATAGTGTTTATAGATGCTAATTTTTTTTCACGAAATATTTCTATAAGAGATCAAAATCTGTTGACACACAATTCAAATCACATTCCGTTCCNACAATAGCCAGAAATGTGCCATAAAAAACCATATTCGAAATTAGGCCCAAAAAATTGTAATTATTCAACATCTTTATACTTAAAATGCATTTGATAGGGTACAGAACTATTGACGCTTAAGCATGGCACTCACTTGTCCTGTGTTTATAATTTGTGTTAAAATTAATGCAATACATAAGAATTACCTTTATTTTGAAATAAGTCCTTTGGTTAACAAAGCGTGGGATAATTGTGCGATTTCGCTACTATCTTCTTGGGCTCTTCTGTTGGCTTCTTCCATCCCTTGTTTAATCTGTTCTCGTTTAGAGTCCAAATACTGGTTGGTATCGTTCAATTTTTGGCCCACTGAATCACGCGTGGAATCGATGTACTGGCCGATATTTTTTTCGGTTTCGGTCGTCTTATTATCAATATATTGGCCTGTTTGGTGTAAGGTTCCTTCAATTTGGTGCTTGGTGTTATCAAGGGTTTTTGCTATTTCTGATTTTTTGTTGTCGATGTTTCGTGCGGTATCGGTAGCTTTGTTGTCTATAAATTGACGAGTTTGGTTTATGTCATTCTCCACGACCTGCTTGGTGTTGTCGATTTTACTTGCTAATTCCGTTTTCTTGTGGTCGACATATTGGTGAGCCTGATTGACACCGTCTTGAACTTGATGCTTTGTGTGATCAATTGTTTTTGCTGCTTCTGCTTTTTTGTTATCTACATATTGTTGAGCTTGAGTGACGCCATCTTGAACTTGATGCTTTGTGTAGTCAACCGTTTTAGCGATTTCTGCCTTCTTATTGTCGACGAACTGATGGGCTTGGTTGACACCCTCCTGTACTTGATGCCTCGTGTTATCCACAGTCCTTGCGATTTCCGCTTGTTTATTACCAACAAATTGTTGGGCTTGTCTGACATCACTTTGCACTTTTTGTTTCGTTTCGTCCAGTTTGTGCGCCACTTCTCCTTTTTTGTTGTCGATGAATTGGCCCGTTTCGTGTATTTTCTGGTCGACCACTTTACCAGCTTCGTGTAACTTCTCGTCTATAACCTGTCCAGTCTTCTTTAATTCTTCGTTTAACGTGTCAGTTGCTGCTTTTTTGGATTCTTCGGCTAAATAAATAAAAAACGATTGAATTTTCTGCTTATGTGTCTTTACAAAACTTGATGGTATTGTAATTACCTGCTTCTGCCGCTTTCTTTTCCAAATTTTCTTTAGTTTCTTTTATTACTTCCCCGGTTTTTGTAAGTTGCTCTTCAAGAACTTCTTTTGCTTTATTTTCCGTTTCTTCTGCCTCTTCAGCTACTTCTTTCTTCTTTTTTTCGAAAATCGATGCTACTCGATTTCCAAAATTTCTCAAAGAAGCTGAAATATGAAATTCAGATAAAGTATATTTACTTATTTTTTTTTTGGATAATTCATTTTAATATGATGTACATGATATTTTATAAAAACAGCTAACTTCCTTTGTCATAAACCATAAACCTAAAAGTTTGTGTTTGAGTTCATTTTTTTAGGAGCTGTAACTTTTGCTCAACACTGTACATCAGTAATAACTTTTTATTATTATTATTGTATTAATAATACATTGCCGCTCTAGCGCCGTTATGATTCATGCGCTTAATAATACATGCAAGTATTCATGAACATAAATAGTTTTGTCGTGAAATTTGTTATTGTTTATATACAATATCTTACAAATTTCACCTAAAAAGTCCAAAACAATGTAGATATTGCCATTTTTTTGATTTTTATAAACACAGACTTGTACCTATACAAGTAAGGCAAAAAGTTAACCGAACATTGCACATTACTTTGTCGGCAGTTTTCCTTTCTATGTCGCATTATTTGTATAAAAATTTGGCTGAAAGCATTTCCCTATACCATGTATTTTTCAAAAGATCATGCCGCCCTTTGTTGAATGCAAGTAATAAGAGTGTATATATGTATATCTATATTCGGTTCTTGACTCGCCACTACTGTATACTTATTTCATGCAATTCTCGCGTGCTACAGTTTTTGTCGACCTTTTTATTAATGTAACGAACGAATATAAACATTGCGGTATGTTTGGTGTTGCAATGATATAAAATTAGCATTGATTTGTTTTTAAATGGACTCGTCCAGTAAATGTAATAAATGGTGGATGCCTATTAGATGGAGTCTAATGGTAACTGAAAAAAAGATGATGCCATCGATTAGCTCACTGACTTCATTTCTTGGGAAAAAAAATAAATTACGGTGTTATTATACCTACCTGTACTGACTTTAATAAGTGTTTAATTTAAGCAGTTAAATAAGTTTCAATATTATAAGAGGTATACACTAGTGGCGAGTTTATAACCAACCAGAGGGTAACCTACTACGTAAAAGGACGGCATCATCTTTCGAAAAGTACAACTGGTATAGGAATATTCGTACAAATACCTTCAGTCGTTTTTTTATATAAATAATAAAATAATGAATAAGTCCAATAAATGCAATTCAAATTTTTTACGGGTTGTTACGCTTTGTTCAAATGATTTTGAGAGCTGGGTTAGTTTAAGTCAGAAAGATATTCTACATATTCTACGGGAAAATTGGCTCAAAGAATATTGGTAAATGTCCTTCAGGGGTGAGGGTGGGTGGGATCGAAAGAGGAGGTCTCCCCTACCACTGTATCATAAAAAGTTCGTGGTGGTCTCACCCCCATAAAAAGTTATGAGGGTTGGGGGTAGGGGGGATCGAAAGAGGGTGGTCACCTGAGTAAAACCCCATAAAGAATTTGCGGCGGTCTCACCCCCATAAAAAGTTATGGGGGTTGAAAGTTAATTATTTTGTCAATTTTCATAGACTATAATTCAAATAAAATTCAATAAAAAAAATATTTTCAAGCGGGTAGAGGTGGGGGATCGAAACAGGGTGGTCACTTGAACAAAACCCGATAACCTAACCTAACCTACCCTATTGATAAAGATATTTAAATAATGTTTTATATAACTTNCTGTTGTTTTGTACCTCCGTTTTATATTCTTTTGCGATTACATCATCGCTCGTTCATGCATATTTTATATATGCGCGGCTAGCTTTGTACATCCCAAAAATTAATTATGAAAAATATTAATTAATATAAAGAGAATTCGATAGGGTAACCCGAATATTTTGATTATAGGTCATGTGGGGTATCATTTTAAAGGGCTAGTTACAAACAATTCAGAAACACCATTCCAAGATGTCGCCAAAAATGTTTCTACTGCGTGTATTATAATATTAACGGACGAAATAATATTGCGTTTCTATTTTACATTCCTCATGATTCGTACACGTATGTGGTTATTAATAGTTTGTGGTTTCCTAATTTTTCAGTTTTCGGTTTCTGTATCTTACACACAGTTGATAATTTTCTAATTAATTCAATTTGTATTGAAAATTTAATTATTGCAATATTGTACTATTCTTTTATATAAATTCTTTGTTTAAGATCTTATCAAAATAATAATATATACAGTATTCAGTAGGTGCAATTTAAAATTATCCAATTAATAGAAGATTTTAATGTACCTATTCCGCAATTTATTGAAATTATCTGAAATGATATTTTTATTTTAATATTATTTCTTTTTTAATCTTTAAATGAATATCAATTTGGTGTACCAAACTAGCAATTTGCATATGTTTAAATGTAAGTATTTAGCAACAATGATTAGGTTACAATACCTTTAGGTTTGCTGATCTATTTTTATTTATATGTTTAGAAAGGCATTTGACCTCAAAACCTAATATTTATTAGTTTATAATTATCTATCGACAATGCTGCCAATTCTCGAAATAGTTTTTTAAAATAGTTATACTCGATAAAGTGGCTCTAATTCTTAACCTGCCACAACTTTTAATAGCCACAAATTGATTGAATTGGTAAATTTTAATTATTATCAAGGAATTGGTTTTAAACGAACGAGCAAATTAGACTGCACACTTTTTGCTGCTGGTCAATACTTTTCGACTTTTTTTTATTTTCTGGTTTAACGCCTTTATCCACTGCATCCGATCCGGTTAGGCGATGCGATCTTAGAACGCTTGTCGCATGTCTTTTTTATCTGCCTCCAAAAGGAAATTTGTAAATAATCTTGAAGTTTATTATACAAATACGTATCTATCTCTCTTTTTTTATTAATACTAATTCTTCCCCCTGCCCCCGGCCATTTTTATTGCTCCACTATAACGTAGTGTCGGCCATCATTCTTTTCTAATTGTTGCAGTTGTCGGCCATCATTCTTTTCTAATTGTTGCAGTTGTCGGCCATCATTCTTTTTCAATTGTTGTCGTTATGACGTAATGTCGGCCATCATTCTTTTCTAATTGTTGTAGTTGTCGCCCATCATTCTTTTTCGATTGTTGTCTCACTGTCACTGATGTCGGCAATTATAATAGATGTATAGTAATCGATGATTAAAATTCAAAGGAATTGTTTGTAAATAGGTGTACAACACATCGTACACTTCAGCATAAGAAACTGCAGATACTAACTTTCATTTACGTAATACTACTTTGCCCTGTGCTGACAGCACTCATAATTTTTTTTATATATAATTGTAGATATTGCCATTTTTTTGATTTTTATAAACACAGACTTGTACCTATACAAGTAAGGCAAAAAGTTAACCGAACATTGCACATTACTTTGTCGGCAGTTTTCCTTTCTATGTCGCATTATTTGTATAAAAATTTGGCTGAAAGCATTTCCCTATACCATGTATTTTTCAAAAGATCATGCCGCCCTTTGTTGAATGCAAGTAATAAGAGTGTATATATGTATATCTATATTCGGTTCTTGACTCGCCACTACTGTATACTTATTTCATGCAATTCTCGCGTGCTACAGTTTTTGTCGACCTTTTTATTAATGTAACGAACGAATATAAACATTGCGGTATGTTTGGTGTTGCAATGATATAAAATTAGCATTGATTTGTTTTTAAATGGACTCGTCCAGTAAATGTAATAAATGGTGGATGCCTATTAGATGGAGTCTAATGGTAACTGAAAAAAAGATGATGCCATCGATTAGCTCACTGACTTCATTTCTTGGGAAAAAAAATAAATTACGGTGTTATTATACCTACCTGTACTGACTTTAATAAGTGTTTAATTTAAGCAGTTAAATAAGTTTCAATATTATAAGAGGTATACACTAGTGGCGAGTTTATAACCAACCAGAGGGTAACCTACTACGTAAAAGGACGGCATCATCTTTCGAAAAGTACAACTGGTATAGGAATATTCGTACAAATACCTTCAGTCGTTTTTTTATATAAATAATAAAATAATGAATAAGTCCAATAAATGCAATTCAAATTTTTTACGGGTTGTTACGCTTTGTTCAAATAATTTTGAGAGCTGGNTATTGTGTTTGCAGTTGCATTAATCAATATGAGACAAGCATTATTTCCAATTTAATGGATAAATCATTTTTGTAAATCTTATATTTATGTTATTATTTATCTAGTTAGGTAGAATAATTTTTTATTCTGAAAAGAGAGATCTTTATAGAGCACCATGCGTAGGCACCAAGAAAGTAAATAAATTCCCTTCCTACATATCCAGAAGAATTTAGAAATCTATTTATATACATATTTTGCAAAACGCAGTAAGAAACATAATGTTCGTGTACATACAGAGTGTTTTTATTATCCCTAAAAAGAATTACTAGGTACTTTTTAATAAATCAGCGTTAGGTGCTTTGCTAAAAATAAGTAAATATGTATAAACTATAAACAGTACCTATATTATTATATTAATTATCTAGGACTTATAACAAATTGTTTGCATTTTTGAATAAATATTAAGAGCGTTTTTTGTTTTTAATTCTGTGGAAATCACCCAAAAAAAATCGCTCGCAAACTTACACTATGACCCAAATGAGACGGAGACCAAAATTTAACTTTGTTTCAGTTTTTTGTTTTACTTTTAAAACATATCCATTTGAACTTGTTACTATGCGAATTCGTCTATTTTACGCCTTTACTTTATGGGTTCTAGATGACCTTACCAGCATAAAAAGAAGTGGGTTAGGCCTTTGCGGAAAGGACGAAATCAATAACTACCTTCGCTCGTTCTATTTCCTATTTCCGCGGCGTACTAGATCTTTACTATGCACAAAAAATTATGTATATTTAAATCTGTTGTTTTATCAATTATATTATAATAAAATTTTATGTAGGTCAGGGTGCATTAATAAGGAGCCGATTATTAAACATTTTGTACTTAATAGAAAAACTTATTAAGACAAACACTAAAATAATATTTAAGTACCGAGCTCCAATTATGTGGATATGTAGGTATTGTATTATGTGTATAATTAATAGTTGACTTGGAAAATATTTTCTGAGTGAGTCAGTGTGTAAGTTGCGTCGCAATTATAATTATAGTAAGGTATTAATTTAAAACAAATTTTATCAATAATACAATTGAAATCCGTTTTTGGCGCAATTATAGAAAAACAAATGCGTTTTAAAAAAAGTAAAAAAAAATGGTCAACTTACATGCAAATCCTGAAAACATTGTGATGGAGAAAGTTCACCGGTAAATACTTAATAAAAATACCGGGGGCACCCGCGACAATATTCAAGTGGACGGATCGGTTATTTAGTAAATAAGTTATATTGCCACTTTAGTTGTTGTTAGTTTAGAATATCGCAAAGTTGGTGAATTGCACGTCTTTCCCTCGGAATATTCGTATGATGACTAAAAATACAACCAATTTGACCTCGAATTCGCGCAGATTCTGTTGTTTTGTACCTCCGTTTTATATTCTTTTGCGATTACATCATCGCTCGTTCATGCATATTTTATATATGCGCGGCTAGCTTTGTACATCCCAAAAATTAATTATGAAAAATATTAATTAAAACGATTTTTGAAACACTGAAACAGATACAATAGGTGTAGATATACAGTGTGACCCAAAAAGTACGCATAGTTCCTTTCGAGATTGAAATAGTACACATTAGGTAAATTTTTCAAATAAAAGTTGCGCATAATATTGATTCTGTACAAATAAGTATTTTTTTTCTCAGAATAAGGATATCATTAATGCATGTAGTGTATCCCAACAAGTATGCAATATTCCACTATCTGTGCAGTAAACGATTTTTGGGGAAAACATCAATAAGTTTTCTCAGTCCTTCCCTAATTGTAGTTTGCAATGGTGAATCCCCTGTCGTAGTTTATCAGTTATACGCAACAAATAATTCTCACAAAAACCATTGTAGGTACCCTATTTAAGTGATGGAAAGGGACTAAGGTTTGTGTCTTAAAACTAGAAACTGGGGTGGAGTGGTTAGACAAGACGCGGTTGTACTTTTGCATGGGGGGGTCAAAAATTGATGAATTTTGAAGAAAAAAAAATTAATAAAAAGACAGAACTTTTTATAAAACTGGTTTATTTTTTAACAATAAATACAAAAGATATGTATTATAAGTATATGTTTCGTGGCTTGTGTTATTTGACATCAAATACATAAAGTGAATTTATCGTATTTTAACTAGGAGACGGAATTTTTCAAATTTATCTATTCAAATATTTGTTTATAATTTAATTTGAATAACCAAATTATCCAATATGTGAATGTGTATTTTGAACAATCATATATTCAGTGAAATAAATATTTTAATATCTACAATATTGATATTGCATTAATTTTTATTCGGAACCGAAAACTTATTTATTACTTTTATTAATTAATTCGTCAAATATATGCGAGCCACAGCACTTGAATCTTCCTTTTGAGTATCCAGATATTTGAAATTTTGAATAATCAAATGTTTGGATATTTAAATATTTGAATATCTGAATATTTAA